TCCACCATGACGTCCAAGGAAGAGACAGCTCCATTAATTTGGGATGAACAAGGAGGGGACTTAAGGTCGAAGAGCTTCATGATGGTGCGGTTAATGCCGGATTCGCGGCGGCGGAGGAACCGAGCAAGGTCGAAGCCCAAGGAATGGAGGCTGAACAGCAGCCTTGCTTTCATTGAGATGCTTGGGGTTGCACTAAGACTGCTCATTTTTGTTTGTTTTTTTTTTTCTTTTTTGGGTGATGATTCTCTCCTTGGGAAATGGTCCGTCGCGCGTCTCTCTGTTCTGTATAGTGATCCAATCCAGCTAACACAAGTAATGTAATGAGTAATGGTGACATGATTTTATTTGCTTAAAATATTGATCCTCATATCTCTCTTACCTTACTTTATAACAAACAATGCTAATAGTGATGCAATGAATCTTTTTCAATTATTATATTATATTATATATATATATGCTGATAGTGATATCATCTAGAATTGGACGGATGATGAGACACCTTATTCCTTGATCTTAGCCAAAAAGAACGGGAAAGGAAGGTATATGAGACACCTTATCCTGAAAAAGCTAAGCAAGACAAAAAGAGAAACAAGTTACCTCTCCTCTCATGGTAAAACAAGGGTAAGATAAATGTCAAAATTTATTTCCCACTAAGTAACCTACTTATTGGATTGATTTGTTGTTTTCTTAGTATTTCATTCATTTGTGTATATTCAGAAGGTAATATAAATTATTACATGGTAAAAAAAGGAGATATTTAGGAAATTTGCTTACATTTTCGGCACTACTAGTAAATAGTAATTCTTATCAAAACATTGTGGTCATTGTTACCATGATTTGTTTCTAGTTGGATTTATTTGCATATGATCTTGTTTAGCAAGTGATTAGTTTCATTACAAAGTTTGAGCAACCAAACCCAATGAGGGGGGGGGGGGGGAATCTTGCACTAGACATCTATAGTAGACTTCATCAATCCAAAAGAAGCCTAATGAAAGTTCCAAATAGGACTCCCAAACCCCACGAGATAGAAACTCTAGCCCAGTGGCGGAGCCACAAATTTGAATGAAGGGGGCTAAAAATTTACGTTCGAGATGTTTGAACTGGGGAGGGAGGCTAAAGCCTTACAACCTAATCCATTTTCCAAATTATAAAATTTACACGATTTTGAGAGTTGAGAGGGACTATAGCCCCTTCTTGCTATAAGGTGGCTCCGTCACTGCTCTAGCCCACATATCAAAGATGGCAGAAGAAGGGTCACCCTCACAAGGCCTTAGACAAGATTGCCCTCTATCGTCATACATCTTTACTCTTTGTGTATAACGACTGTGACATTTAATCAGGACAATGGTGGAAGGAGGAACCTGGAAACTAATCAATATGTCAAATTCAGGATCGGAATTGTCTCATCTCTTCTTTTGGTAACAACCTTATATATCCTGCTCGGTGTAGCCATGGTGGCGCAGGCAAATGAAATTAACAAAATCTATGCTGAGTTCGGAGGAGCCTCAGGACAACATATAAGCCGGTCTAAATCACGAGTCTTCTTCTCCAAGAATATATATGTTAGTTTGGGAGCAACTCTTAGTGCAACTATCGAGTTCCTGAAACCAAAAAATTGGGGCGGTACCTGAGTTTTCCGGTGATCCATGATAGAGTTTTGAAAGCTACTTTCACTGAACTTATTGACAAGATTGATGCACGTACACCTGGCAGATAGTGGCAGAGCCAGGAAATTTATATAGGGGTGTCCTCTTTCAAAAATTAAATAAATAATTAAATAATTTTAAATTAGAAAATATCTAATTAATACAAGTTACAACAAAAGTCTACGACGTGTTACAAAATATACTCAGTGTCTGGACTGCTCAACAAATATCTCCATCTTACTATACAATCATTCACAAACTGATCATTTAATCAATTTCGAAACTTGTTCTTAAAGTTTCCCAAAACTAAATATGTTATTTCAACACCTGCAGTTGCAATCGGTAAAATCAATTACTTTGAGAAGCAAGTAAACCAATGGATATGATAGAATGGAGGGAATAAGGATAACCCGTAATCAGGTTCAATTGTTAGATTTTCAAAATAATTGGGAAAAGAAATATCATTTTTACTATTAAACTAGTGTTTAAAATACAATAACAAATGAGTTTTGGTCTAATGAAAAACATGTTTACTAATAATCTTAGTATCCTAATTTAAATCACCTAGTCTATCACTTATATTTTTTATCCACACGAAAACTATTACCGGGGTTGGATAATCGTTATCCCGAAAATTAGGGGTGTCCCGGGCTCCGCCCCTGCTGGCAGGGTGCATAGCCTGTGTTCCTGAAGGCGCACAACTTACTCATAATCCTTGGATCTAATTTAATATTTTAAATGGTATAAATTATGGGATGTTAAGTGTTTTTTCTTCTTCTTTATTCCATTAAAGTGATGAGAATATCATGATATAAACCACATATAAAAGAACTTCGAAGATGGGAATGGAATGACTATAATTATCGATAAACCATATGGTCAAGACTGAGACAATTTTATTGATAAAATATTGAATTAAAAATTACTCAGAAAACACTTAATTAAAATATGGTATTAAATAATGAACTCATATACTCAGATCAATAAGCCATGCTAGTTGTTTTAAGATAGATTGTATAAATACACAATTCATTTGGTATTAGTAATTCCTACTCTTTTATATATTGTCCAAATCAAAATAACTAACAGTTTTATACGTGTCCGAAGCACACTATTCACTAAACTTAACAGTATAAATAGATTAGACAATAGACTAATACACCCAAAAAGAAGATATACCCTAGGGCCTAGACCGGCTATTGAGTACTTTCAAGTTCCAATTGTGTAACTGCGGACACTCCATTCTCTCTGTCTCCTTGCAAACCTTGTGGTTGTGGTTGTGGTTGTGGTTGCAGATGCTTCTCTAATCTCCCCTGCCCACCTCGCCTTATCTCTCTTCTTCATAACGCCATGGCGACCCGGGCACAGCCTGACTCCATCACCGGCGGGTGGAGGACTGGATTCGGCTTCGGACTTTACGCGGCTCAGTCACGGCATTAATATGATTCGGCGCCGGATGTCAAGAATTTGCCACAGCTCAATCGGACCAACTAATGAACATTCTATTCTTCCACCCTGCAAGATGCAGAATCCCGCCTCACATGATCTGCTTCGATCCATCAAGGTATTAACTCTTGCTTCTCGGTTGTTTAATGGCTGAATTGCGGGGGTGTGGAATCCTTATCGATGATTTTGATGAAGATGACCAGTTACTCATCTTCTGATTTCTGAATGCTGATTTCCTGTCGTCGTGGGTAATTATTGGCGAATCTGCTTCGAGCTTTTGTCTATTGATTTACGCGATTGTTTTTAGTTTTGAGGTACCGTTTTAACCCTAAGCTAGCCTGTTCATAGTGTTGGATAGGGTTTTCGTTTTGTATTTTGAAGTACTGTGAAAGAATCCCAAATTTCTGTGAATGATGGCTGTTATTATTCCCGGCCCGGGGGTTGTTCCAATTAAATATCTTGATTACGATCTTCTCTTCTCTGTATCCAACTTGATTTCATCTGGAGTTACTTACAGGACATTATGTGTATTTTTCTGTTGCTTGTTCTATCTTGTCACAATATTGCCTCTGCTGGTTGGAATTTGGAAGAATGAACTCCAAAAATAATTCGCTGTTTGGCCCTTCAACTGTAGGGGAACCTAAATGATCGTAAGAAGCTCCCCTTTGTAAAGGAACCTGCACTTGGGAGTTCTTAGATCTAGGACAGAGCCGACATTTGAGTTAAGAATTAGGGCAATAATTCTTAATCCAACTGCTAATTATATTCTTATGCTCCCGTTATTATCTGTCAATTCTTAAGCAAGTCAAATTAATTGTTTTCAGCAACCCCCACCGGCTGCAAGGAGTCCTGAGTATGCAGTTATTGATTGTTCATGTATAAGAAGTTTGTTTTGGACGTACCATGGTGATCAATCTAGTTAACCAATTAGATTTGGATGCCCCTTCATTTCCAATAGTATCCTACTACCGTTAAATATCTGCTAGGAAATGAGTAACACCATTTATGCAATATTATGTGTCATGGGGGTGGGAATCTTGCCAATGCTAATGCAACATTTTTCTTTGCTGCTCTAAGTGCTTTCCATTCCCGCAGAACGATATCCTCCACTATTGATTTCCCCGTATTTAGTCATGTGGACTGCTAGTTGGCAAGTAGTTGCAAACTTGCGGATGAATAGGTTCTGACGTTATAACTTGCAAACCCTACATATTAGGATATTCCTTTTGTGTCCGCCTTTGTAATTGTTTGAGCACATGTAGATTTTTTGTAATGTGTCATGTCTGGTTGTGCTTGTTATTTGGATGGAAATGAGATGGTGTCTTTCTCATCTTAACTGAAAATTTGAGATGATATTGCTGCTTTAATCCGTGTATGAACCAATTGATGAAAATTTCTCCTCGTCTTAAACTAGATTATTAAGTTGCTGCTAATTGTGTGAGAGCAACATGGTGCAAGTCGTTTCATTCACTTCTGTGCTGCTTATATCTATCTTATATATGGAGTCTTAAGTCTAGTATTCTTTCTGTTCATATGTGACACTTAAGGTAAGAGCAGGCAAGGAAATGTATCAGAAGCTGCGTAAATCTTCAAAGTTTCCCACAAGAATATATTAAATAAAGAGGTATTTATGATACGCAAGGAGTAACAACTCTGAGCGCATTGTCTTGCGATTCTAGCAATCATATATTCTCTTGTTTGAAACAGCTGAATTGGCTTGGTAGGTGTACTAGAGATCACTTCCATGGACGGCGACTATAAAACAAAGCAATTCACTGAACGACGTACAGAAGTCAAAACTAAGGAAGAGCTTCCATTTCTCAAAGATAAAAGAAAACGGAACAGGAAATCCTCAAATCCTAAGCCATGCTCTGGAAAAACAAGATTTACAACAACAAGTTTTACAGGTTAGCCTACACTGAAAGTTACAGTTAGCTCATTACTTTCTACTTTTACTGCCGCAGCTTCAGCTTCCCTGCAAGTGGAGACATTGTCTTGGGAGGTAGAACCTTTAGATGACTGCTCAGTATTAGTAATGGAGCAGGATGATTTTTGGTCAGACCTTTGATGAGACAACAAGTTCATGCATCTAATACACATGAACTTATCAGGAGTTGGGTCACAATTTTCAATCCCAATACACCTTGTGTGCTGCCACACACCACAGGAATCACAAGCCAACATCCTCTCGCCATCATCATCCTTTGCCCCACATGTGCAATCTACAGTCCAATTCTCTGTGCCCCTCTCCAGTCGGTAACGGTTGACTGCACTCTTGGAGGGGCATGTCCCTTTCACCTTCACTGCTCCAGTTGATCCAATCAGAAATTTTAGGGTAAAGGAATCTTCAACCAAGCCATAGTCAAGCAGTGCATCAACCTGAAGCCTTTTACACATGGCATATACTTCCCGAAATGCTCTAGCAGCTTCATTCTTTAGGTCCACAACCGTAGCATTCCAAGGCAATACCAGTAGTTCTGGTGGTATTGTTGGATGATTCTCCTCTTTGAATTGGTCAGAAAGCTCTACCTGGCACATGAGGTAAATGCCTAACGGATTATTTACAAGCTTTTGGTAAGGTTTGAAGTCCTTCATAAATTCTTTGCAGTCAGTAAGCTTAGTTGCAGCGTCAATCACTGTTTGCCTTGTAGTCGAGGGTCTGTACTGCACCATGGTCTCAGGATTGACTAATGAATCAAATAAGAATTTCAGGTCACTTTTGACCTGCTGTCTTGAGGGATAGTTTGACTCAAGTGTTTGAAATGGTGCGGAAGACACAGGCTCCAGCCTGTCGACAGATTTTAAGAAGAAGCGTTGAAGTTTATCATGCGGGGAAACAAAAAAACAAAACAAAAGCAAGATCATATAAGGCTGAGACATTTATTTACCTGAATTCCACATCATAGGAGCTAGGGCTGCATCGCGCCTGGACCATCATGCAGTTTGATGCCAACTTTCCTCCTAGGTGTTTGAGGGAATAGTCGAGAAGCTCAGGAGAAGCTCTTTTGCACATGACACCCTTAAGTGTGTGCCTGGCTACCCACTTGGTCTCACCAGATGCTGCTGTCAACACCTTGATCATAGACTCTTGCAACTCTTCTACATCATTCCTTGACCAAGCACACAACACTCTTGAACTAGGGCAGCCTCCCAAATCACGTTTAACTGTTGATACGGATTCTGATGTCGCCATGTTGCTTTCTTGTAACAGCCTCAGCAAGAAGGAAAAGAGGTCTTTCAGGGTCAGAAGCTCGGAGTTGGACAATGACTTGTAGAACGAGATGGCAGCCTGCAAGCTTGTCCGTGGGCCACGGCCATGGAACAAAATCTGGTCTAATGGCACTCTTGAAAGGGTCTCAACTACTTGTCGGTAAGTCTCTGATGTTAGGCCATAGCTCCCGTTGCCAAATTCATAACCCCAATTGCCATACCATGAATGCCCTTTAGTAATGGCATGAAGCAGCCTGTACTCTGTACCGTACTTGCGAGACACATCCATCACAGATACTTTCCTGTTTCACCAAAACAGTAGATGAGCTTGAGCTTACATTTTTGGTCTATATGGAAATGCAGAAGGGAGAGACAAGGGATGTAAAGGAGAGATCGATACCTGACTGAGAGAGAAGTGCAGAGCCTATCCCAGAAGTTCATGACATGGGTGCCGGTGAGAGTTTGAGAGCCACCTTCTTTGCCGTTGACCCTGAGGAGGTGACCATATCCATTGGAGTGCACGACGCCGTGAAGCAAGTGAGAGCTGTCCTCAAACTGGGAGTAAACCCACTCCGCCAAATCATCAGTTGTAAGCACAAAGTCGCACCACTTGCACCTGCAAAATCAGCGGGAGGGGGAGAGAGTTAGAGAGTTAGAGAGATGGAGAAGAAGCAAGGCTTGTAACAAAATTACAGCGTCGTCGTTCTGGCTCACCTGGACTCTGAGAGTTGGAGGGAATTGCCACATCTGCTACACAGCTTCTGAAAGCCGTCGGAAGGACTACCATTCGCCCTTATGATGAAATGGTAACGTTTCCGGCATACCGGATGATTGCTCCAGCCTTCCTAGTTCACACCATTACCAACGCCCAATATTTAGAGCAGGAAGAATGTATTCATTTATTTGTTTCACCTCCAATTGTTGTTGTTGATATTATTATAATTCATTATTAGTTACTTGATATATAAACTTATCAGAGGAGTCCTAATCGATCACGCTATGCCTCTTTTTTTCCATTTTGAGCAGGAAAAGGAGAAAAAAAAAATAAGAGAGGAGGGAGGAAAAACGGGGAAGAAGGTCAAAAAGAAATTCGAGAAGGTGCGGGGGAGAAAAGAGGGCTGGCTCACCTACGACTCGGCACTGGTTGCAGTAAACAGATGCGCTAGATCTGGTAACATCTTCCTCGACAACATCGAGCGCGACAACAAGCGGCGAGAGATCTGGTCCGTCGACTAGATCGCCGACACGAAAGGCTGTCTGCCATGTGAGGAGTGAAGGGAAGAGGGACGGCGGGGAAGTGAGTCGGGCGTGGCGGGCGAGGAAGGCCTTCACCGTTTCCCTGAAGGGCCCTCCTCCTCCTGGCGATTCCGACGAAGAGTTGAGCTCTTCGCCAGGAAAGGTGAGGAAGTCGTGTAGATCGGCGGTGACCCTGTTCCTCCTGGCTCGTTTCAGCGGTCTGTTGTTCATCACCATCCTAGTCTCCGTCGTGCTCGTTTGTGTGTGTCGAGAAAGAAACAGTGTGATCGTGACTGTGTTGATGGGGACTGGGGAGGCGGCGGTGGTTGTCTAGGTTTTGCTGGGGCGGAGGGTTTTAGAGAGAAGAATGACGAAGCAGCGAGCGGGGGGTTACTTTAAATTACCCTCATTAATTACTGACTTGTTCCGTAGACGAATCGAAATTGGAGAAGGAGAGGAAAAACTGGAGGAGTGGGGATGAGAGATAAGAGACACTGAGATAGAGGGCGAGAGAGGCGGTTTGCTCTCGTCTATGTTCTAATCGGATTTGGAGAATGTGTGTGTAGGAATGGACTGTTAGGATATTTCTCCACCGACTTATTATAAAAAATCATTTTTATTCAACTACTTTTTGAGTCATATAGTAAAAACTTTCGCGTTTCTAACAATAATAGCAATTTTGGAGAATTACCACTTATAGCTATAGGTGTGGTTCGAAGGGGTCGAGACGGGTTCAATCAGGTTGCAGGTTAGTTGGATTTCGGTTTCGTCAGTTGCGGGTTCATCAGTTTGGATTAAATCGGGATCGGGTTCAATCGGGTTGCGGGTTGTACGGGATAGCGCATCGAGTTACTTACTCCTTACTCACTACCAACTTACACATGTTATTACACTAATTTAAAATATTTTTCACAATTTTTAACCAACTTCTTTCTACCTCTTATATATATACTTAATTTAAAAAAAAATAGTCAAAATGTTGAATCAATTTGTATGATTTGCAAATTTGTCATGTAGTTAATCGGCTAAATTACAAGTTTGGTCACTCAAATTACATATATCTTTCATGTTTACCACCCAAATTATTTTTCTTTCTAATTGGCCACTAACTTTACAAATCGTTTCACCGTTAGTCACCCGCCGTTAATCGCCGTCAGATTTCGTTAACACCGTTAGTTTTTTTACAACGTGGCAAACAGAATCGTTGTCTGGTCCGTTAACTCAATGACATGCCAATTCAAAAAAATTAAAGAAAAAATTAATTAAATTATCCCTCATCTCACCATCGTTCCCTGTGCCCAAATCGCACTGTGCCACTCGGGGAAGAAAATCCTCCAGCCGCGCGCCCAACCCCGACATCGTCGATCCGAGTCGTCCCCAGTTACTCGCTATAGCCGCCGCTTCTGAAGGCAATGAATCTGCGGTGTCCTCGGCGTCCACGTCTCCAGTGCGCCGCCTTCGCCATCAATCAGGCACCGAGGTCGTTTTCACCACCAGCGCCATCGATCTCCTCGTCCCTTCAGCGAGGTCCCTGTTACTACGGTCGGCAATCAAATTCCCACTGCGCCACCGTTCTCTTCTCCTGCTGCCGCTTCCTCTCAATACTCTCACCTCTTCTCCGTCAAAACATGGATTCTCAGATCTACACTCCATAATCTAGACCCATGATAAGATAATCCAACTCCACCTTCGAGATTAACGTCAAAGGATTCACCTTGTCCCTGATTCCTCTTCTGGGCTCGTCTCAAAACTTGTCGTTTCTTGAGCGATGCCGGCAGTCGGCAAATTTGTTGTCGGAATTGACGAAGTTCCTTGATTGGAAGCTGAAGAGACCTTGTTGAGCTCGTCGAATCTGGCTTTCCATTCGCCGATCGATTCCCTCTTCTCCTGGCTTCACCCGACCAATTCGCTCTTCTCTGCCTCCGCCAAATTCGACTAACGAGTTGTTGCGCAAAGTCGGCACGCTTCCAAATCTTGTAAGTGCAGAAGGCACGGTGCGGCGGAGGAAAGGAGGACGGATCTCGAAGTGGAAGGGAGTTCACCTGGGATCCATCGGCGCCATTTCCCTCAGTTGGAGCAGTGGTGGAGATGGAGCAAGATTTGTTGCTCTAGGTGAAGATGGGGAAAGGAAAGAAGACGAGTGAGGGGAAATGTGCTCCTCTTATTTTTGTCTTCTTTTTATTTTTTTTATTTTTTAAATTGACATGTCATTGAGTTAACAGCCTAGTCAGCAGTTTCATTTGTCACATCATCAAAAAACTTAAAGGAATTAACGACGGCTGACTAACGGTGAAACGATTTGTAAAGTTAGTGGTTAATAAGAAAGAAAAGTAATTCGGATGGCAAACATGAAAGATTAATATAATTTGAGTGACCAACCATGTAATTTAGCCGTAGTTAATCGTAATTAGTAAAGTGCACTAGATAATAGTAATGGCGATATCAACATTTGCAACTAATAGACACTATTAGCAATCCAAACAAAACACCACTCTAAAAACAAACAAGAAAATACTTTTTCTTATCTCAACATTTTTTGCGGCAATATAGATCATTCCAAAAGAAAATTGGACCGTATTTTGGAGCGAGAATGAAGAAGTTGGGCGGCAATATATATCAAGGAAAAAGGAAAATTGGGCGACTATACAACGGGAAGCAAAATTGAGTACAAAAACATGAATTATATATAAAATAAATTACAAGCTTAATTCTCAGTGAAGTATAAACTTTTTCTTTAACAAAAAAAATATATAAATCAAGGTTCATGGAATATTTTTGCAAGTCGTTTTCAATCAATAATCATAATTTATATCCATATGCAAAATCTAGACAAGACACTAAATATAAACAATAGTTTATGGGAGATGGAAATCGGACTTACTATTAGCTAGGAAACTTTCCCCCTCGAATTTTGATATCTTCATCCCAACATTTTACTTCTCCAATGATTCCCTCCCCACTTTTCGTTCTTCTCATTTTGCTTTCGCTATACAATTTGTCCCTACCAAAATGAAAATCTAATGAGGGAAAATTCCCCCCAATTCGACCCACCAACGTTTCAATTCCTTTACAGCCTGTTTGGAATGACAAAAAACTCAGGAATTGGAATTCCATTTTCAATTCTAGTTCCATCTTTTATGTTTGGAAGGATAAGAAGGTTGAGAAATGAATTCCATTTGGGCTAAGTTTTGGGAATTACAATTCCTATAAAAAGTGATAGGAATTTGGTTTATGATGATGGAATTAGTGGGTTCCATCACTATTTATTATTATTATTTTATTAACCAACTATCACCCTACTCTCTTTCTCTATCATTTATATTCCATTTTTCAAGATACAACAAATATATTACATTATTAATTATTGTTAAAGTGCAACTCATTTCTATAGTTGTAGGAATTATACCAAACACTAACATTGATAATGGAATTCTATAAAAATAGGAAATGGAAATAGAATTCCATTTTCCATTTCTTCTTGAATTGTATCCAAACAGGCTGTTAGCGAGTAAGATTAAGTTTCCAGCCTAAATGTAAAATAATATGTATTTGAGATAAGATAACTATTTATATGTTCTCAAAATCTACTATATCAAGTCATGCCTATAAGCTATAGTAAGGTTTGTTATAGAGTAGAAAATATTTTAGTCACTAAATGTTACACTCCTAAATCATCATATGTAAACATTGTGATAATCAAATCGATAATTAATTAAACTCGTAAATCATCATATGTAAACATTGTGATTAGGGGTGGTAACCGGTAAATCGGTTATCGGTATAACCGGTAACCGAACCGGTAACTGGCGGTTATCGGTATACGGTGACCAAAACATAGCATCCGGTATACCGTATTCTATCCGGTTATTAACCGACGGTTAGCCGATAAAGCGCATACCGGAAACCACCTCACTTATTGCAAAATAAAAACCCTTTCCATGCCTGCCTCTCGCAATTAGAGCATCCACATTGGTATTGCATTCTCAATTGCAAAATGACATGACATAGGTGTTTGCAATTGCAAAACCAATTGCATTGATGTGGCTACCAATTACATATTTGCAAGCTTGCAACAAATGCAATTCCATATGCAAGTCAAAAAAGCCTAAAAAAATGAGGATTTTTTTATTTTATATTTTTTCCTTTCTCTTTTACTTAATTTTTTATAATTTAAACATAATATTTAATTATATTTGCAATTGCAAGTTAATTGCATTGATGTAGGTGAATGAAATGAATGTGATGTGCATTACAAAAAAATTGAGTTGACAATAAAAAATATAAATACAATTTCAATTGAGTTGACAATAAAAAATATAAATACAATTTCTTTTGCAATTGCATTGATGGACATGCTCTTTAGACTATCTCCAATCCAAGCATGCAAATTTGGAGAAAGGGAGGTTTTTGGCTTTTTTCATCTCCAACCCACCAATTATTTGGCTTGCAAATTTGGAGAAGTGGGCTTGGGGGTGGATAGATAGAAGCTCATGGAGAAATGCAAGGAGAAAGTGGGGGACCAACCACGGAACAAAAGCCCACACGCTGGGCCCCTCCACTTTCCAACATCTTCTTTTTCTTTTTTAACTTTCTTAATTTTTGATTGGTTGGTTATGAGTTGGGAAGGCAAATTTAGAAGGTTTAGGGTTGGAGGAAAAAAATATTTTTAGAAGGTAAAAATGCATATTTGAGAGCTTGAGAGGCTAAATATAACCTTTTGGGTTGGAGTTAGTGTTAGGGAATCCTTTCCCTCTCTCCTTCTCTCCGCCTTCACGGCTTCACCACAGACAGTCACCATCCTTCTCTCTTTTTTTCCCCTGTTACAAATCGAAGTCATAACTAAAAAAAATGTCAAACTTCCCCATGCTGCCGAGGTCTTCTCTCCTTCTCTTCTCTTCTCTTTAAGGATGACGCGTTTGGGAACTACGCATGCATCATTGGGTCTGACGGAGGTGATGAGGTGGCAGTGAGGGAGGGTCAATTGAGCCCTTCTTCATCATCGAAATGGGTCACTGAATCACCAGATTCAGCGCCATGCAAAGAAGGCCTTCCTTTTCTTCTTCATCCCTTTCGATTCCAGATTTGCCAGCCAAAGAAGGGCAGCGCCGCTGGTGGCTGGTCGAAGCCCCACCACAGAGCAGCAAAAACATCTACTCGATTGTGATTGTGAATGTTAATTTGTTTTCCCGTGACGGGATTGCAATAAGAGTTTGAAGAGATTGGTGATTGGTCGGAATTACAGATGGATGGAAGGGATAGAGAAAGGAAGAGCGAAGGAAGCGGCAGCGGTGGGAGTTGTCGGTGCCAAGGCGGCGGCGAGGGTGGTGGGAGCGAACGCGGAGGGAGTGGTGGGATCAAAAGCGGCGGTGGTGGAAGAATGGATCGGTCCATTCGGTGTGTAAGGGTTTGCGAGATTGGGATTTCAGAGTTGGAGCAGAACAAGAGTCGGTAACCAGGCAACCAGATTGCTAATCGGTAACCGAGCAACCGGTTAGTCGGTATACCGACAAGCAACCGATATTGGTATCCGGAGGTCGTTTGACACAAATCGGTATACCGA